GGCGGCGGGGCGGCGGGCGGCGCGGACCACGCGGACAAGCTGAGCCTGTACAGCGAGACCGACAGCGGCTACGGCTCCTACACCCCCAGCCTCAAGTCCCCCAACGGGGTCCGCGTGCTGCCCATGGTGCCCGCGCCCCCGGGCTCTTCGGCGGCCGCGGCCCGGGGAGCCGCCTGCTCGTCGCTCTGCTCCTCCTCCAGCTCCATCACCTGCCCGCAGTGCCACCGCAGCGCCTCCCTGGACCACCGCGGCTTGCGAGGCTTCCAGCGCAACCGGCTGCTGGAGGGCATCGTGCAGCGCTACCAGCAGGGCCGCGGGCTCGCCGCGGGGGCGTCCGCAGCCCCGGCCGTGGCCGTGTGCCAGCTGTGCGACCGCACCCCGCCCGAGCCGGCGGCCACTCTCTGCGAGCAATGCGACGTGCTCTACTGCGCCACCTGCCAGCTCAAGTGCCACCCGTCCCGGGGCCCCTTCGCCAAGCATCGGCTGGTTCAGCCGCCGCCGCCGCCCCCGGAGGCGCCCCCGGCTCCCGCCGGCCCGCCCACCGCCCCCGGCGCGGCGGGAGGGTGCAGGAGCCCCGGGGGCGCCGCGGCCGGCGCTCCGCGCAGGTTCCCCACGTGCCCCGAGCACGAAATGGAGAACTACAGCATGTACTGTGCGAGCTGCCGGAGCCCCGTGTGCTACCTGTGCCTGGAGGAAGGCAGGCACGGCAAGCACGACGTCAAGCCGCTGGGGGCCACGTGGAAGCAGCACAAGGTGAGCAACGCCCGGGCGTGCCAGCCGGGGCGGGGGGGGGCGCTCAGGAGAGTCTCCGGACCTCCTCCTGGGAAATTGCCAGGGGGTGGGCCTGAGGGCCACCCAGGAATCGCTCCCTCCCTGCGTCTGACCGTCCGTCTGTCCGTCCGTCCACACACCCACCCACGTGTTCATCTTTTTATTTTTCTGTGCATCCATCCACCTCTCCTCGCACTGGGCTGTTTATCCACTCTTGCTTCCAACCCTCCAGCCGTCTATGAATGCCTAAGCAGGCAGGCATCTGTCTAGCCATTAGCCCGTTCATGGATGCTCTAGGTTCATACATGCATGCATGTATCCATCCGTCCGTCCAAACAAGAGTCCCAGCTGTCAACACTTGGTGGCTCAGGTTCCTGCACTGGGTGCTGGTTTGGTGAGTTGTGAAAGCGGTTGCTTAAGTTTCCTTTCCGAGGCTAAGGGTTATCAGAGCGCAGAAATGGGCTCTCGCTCAAAGTACAAGGCATCTTCAGAACTCCCTTCCTCCTTCCAAGGGGGAAATAGGATTTTAAAGTGGCCACAGGATCCCATCTGAAGTCTTTCTTGAATCTGTTGCCGAGGCCTGGAGGGCAGCGCCCCTGCCCGCTCCCCCTGGAGCCCCCGTGCTCGCGGGGTGCCACACAGCAGCTCCACCTCACTGAGCAGGTGCTTTTGCCCCTTTCAGCCTCCAGAGAAGAACTTTCTCTCCCTTCAACTAGTTTCCAGCTAGTCCTCTGCCCGGAATTCCCCCCAGCTTGCGGCAGAGAGGTGACCTCTCCTGGGCTGTGAACAGACCTAGGGTGTGTGTCCTACAAGAAAGGAGCGTGGTCCCTAGAGTGCTTTTGCCCGAGCTCTGCTGCTGAAGCTGTGGCGAGGGGCAGGCACATCTGCCTTCAGCCTTTCCCCTGGGGTAGAGCCTGGGGGACACCTGGCACTTTGCTCTCTTCTCTGACACGGGTTGAGAGGAAAGGCTGTGATGATAGTTTGCCTGGGCCCTCACCAGCCTCGGGGCAAGGTCAGGATGGGTCCTCACCTCACATTCTACCCGGCAGGCTTGTTCGACAGGCCTCGTGCCTCCTTAGACTGGCAGGATAGAGTCACTTATCCGTGGCCTCTTCAAGAGGCTGCTTTTCATGCACCCGCCTTCAGAAACCTGCCCTGGAAGATGTAAGAGGAGCCCAGACTGTCCAGCAAGAAATAGTGCGTGTATTTGGTTAGAGTAGAGCCATAGGCGAATAAGGAGCTTGCCAAGGAAGCTTATCATACAAACTACAGAGAGCCAGAGCAGCCAGGAAGAGAGATAGCTCGCCTGTGTGGACACTATATACTTCCATCTACAATAAACACACGCTGCTACAATAGTGTAATATTCAGAGGAGCTTTTTGATTTTTTATTTATTGGATGTGCATTTTATTTATTGGCATGCATGTATGTCTACATAAGAGAGTCAGGTCCCTAGAGCTGGAGTTATACACAGCTGTGAGCTGCCATGTGGGTGCTAGGAATTGAACTCCGGTCCTCCGGAAGAGCAGGCAGTACCACTGAGCCATCTCCCCAGCCCCTTAGGGGAGGTTGGGACCCTCTTTTACTGACTGTGCAGTTCTGGCTGCCACTGGACCCATAACTACCCTTTTTCCCAGCCTCCTGAGTGCTGGGGCCACAGATGGACACTGTGACACGCAAACATGTACTTTTAAATGAAAACAAACAAACAAAAAGTGAGTAGAGAGCCCTTTGGACACCAGCCTCGGAGAAGGAACGTGTTGCTTCTGGAGCAGGGTTCTCTGCGGGGCCAGTGTGCGCTTTCACCCCAGCTCCCCTGGCAGGCTGAAGGGTCTGCAGCACCTCTGGGGTCCTGCTGTGCAGATGAGAATCCAGCCCTGTGAGGAGCCTGCTCTAGGGCTCCGCATTTCAGCCTTGCGGGTTCCCAGTGGTGTGCGGAAGCTACTTTAACTCCCACCCGTTGGGAGGGGCGTGTAGTGGGAATTCCTGTGAGGGGTGGGACTAAGTCTCTGGGCACGGCCAGAGGTCCTCAGCCACTGAGTGTCAATTGCTGTCCTGCGGTCCTTACACTTGACCATGAACTTGCAGAAGGCTGAGAGCTGCCGCTCCCCCAGCCCCACTGCTGCGGAGGAAGCAGCAGCTGTTGACTGTAGACGCGCTTTTTCTGAATTTGTTCTCTTTGATTGGTGTGCTTCTTAACCTTACACCTGTTCTTTGTGTGTGCATGTACGCTTGTGAACGCCACCGTGTGAGTGTGTTGGTATGAGCACAGCTTTGAGGAGCCGGCTCTCTCCTCCCACCGTCTGGGTTCCTGGGACCCAGCTTAGTTAGGTCACGGAGCTTGGCAGCAAGGGCCTTTGCCCAATAAGCCATTCCCACCCCGCCACCCTCAGGTGCTTCTTCTTCTTCTTCTCTCTTTCTTTCTTTTTACTTTTTAATTGTTGTTGTTTTTTCTTCTAGACAGGGTTTCTCAGTGTAGCCCTAGCCTGTCCTGGACTCACTTTGTAGACCAGGCTGGCCTCGAACTCACAGAGATTCACTGCCTCTGCCTCCCTGAGAGCTGGGATCGCAGGTGTGCGTCACTGCCCCTGGCTCTATATGCTTCTTTTCAGTTTCTGTTTCATTCACGTTATTGAATCTGTGTGTATGTGTGTATATCTGTACACATGTGCACGGTACACTCCTGTGCACGCACCTTAAAGGGTCACGTTAGTCTCCAGTGGCTTTCTCTATTGATCCCCATTCTAAGATGAGGGTCCTCACTGAGTCTGGAGGTCTCTGATGAGCCAAGACAGCTGGTCAGGGAGTCGCTGCGATCCTCCTGTCTCGGCCTGCCTGACACCCGAATCACACAGACACACGGTGATCACACTCAGCGGGATCCCAGACACACACACACTCAGCCGGGATCCCAGACGCCCAGCCTAGGTGGGTTCTGAAGGTTCTGACCGGGCGGCAGACACTTTCCCCCCTGAGCCTCCTCTTTCCTTTGGGTATTGTCTATACTTCAGTGACGGAGACTCTGCCCTGGATTTCTGCCTCACACCCCACAGTCTGTGGAGGATTGTAGGGCTACGGGTGAAGCTCTGCAGTGAGCAGACGTTTTATAAGTTAAGGAATCTGGCTGCAGCGATGCTCAGAGTTAAGAGCGCCCGTCTCTCTTGCAGAGGACCCCAGGATGGCTCAGTGTGTAAGAACACGTTCCCAGCACCCACATCTTCAGCAACAGGGAATCCAGCGCCCTCTTCTGGCCTTCTCAGCCACTAGCACTCACACACACACACACACACACACACACACACACACACACACACACACACTTTTTTAAAAAGAAGTCTTGGTTTGAAATCTTCCATTCAGATTTCATGAGCTCTTATGGTTTCATAGATTCGAGAGCCGAGACTAATTTGAGGTCCCGTTTCCCAAACACTTTTAACGTTAAAGATTGCAAACCAGAGAGCTGGGGTGAGAATTTGGATTCATGAGGGAGGAAGTGCCTTTTGTAGAAAGGTGAGTTTGATGATGGACTGAGGCCTAAGGTCATGCAGAGGAAAATCCTGGTCACCCTTGGTGACCGTCCTCTCTACCTCAGTCATTCTGCTTGGTGAGGAGAACACATGGAAATGCATGGATCCCTGCCAGAGCCATGGAGCGTGTCCCCGCGGGCATACACAGCACAGCTTGAGTTTGAATCTTGTGCCCGGTGCTCCTGGCTCTGGGAGGGGAGGGAGGAAGGGAGGGAGGAGGGCAGGCTGGAGCTAGACTCAGTTGCTGTGCTGCTTGCTTACCACTCATGAGTCCCTGGGGTCCATCCTGAGCACAACAGAACTGGACATAGTGATGTAGGTCTGTAATTCCAGTGTGTGGGAGGTGGACATAGGGAGGTCAGAGGTTCAAGGTCATCCTGGTATATGAGACCTGTCTCAAAGAGGGGAGAGAGGGGAGATGTCAATTCCTGGGCTGAGGTGGAAAGCTGTAGAATGGTGCCGTGGTCTACTCAAGAGCTCTTGGCTAGCCCCGGGACGGAATAGCAATGGTGATCACACCACCGGTGCCCAGTGGCCTGGCCCTGTGGCCCCCATAGAGCACGGGACGGTACAATCTACAAAGCTCAGGAAAGACAGGGCTCTATCCCCCTGGCCTCGAGGCTCTTCCCAGGGCATGGGGGTCCTCGGCACCTAATCGATAACAGGAGATGCTCACCAGTTCAAGGACAAGAAACAAGCCAAAAACCCAGGCTGATTCGCAAACTTGTGTCAATCCTCCTGCCTCAGCTTCTTTAGTGTTGGGATTACAGATGTGTGCCCCTACACCCGGCTGAACATTCCCTTACTTAACTCCTTGCCTACATCTTGGTTATTCCCTTAAATTAGAACTATAAACATAAGGCCACATGCTGAGTGTAATCCCAGCCTCCCATGGGCCGGAGGAGACAGAGAGGCAGGAAAATCCCTCAAGGCTCCCAGACCAGCCAACCCGGAGTGTGTGGCACAGGGCAGAAACAGAGAGAGCCTATGAAAGAGTGATCCCTTTGGGGGCCGCCCCAGGCATCTCTGAGCAGGCGTGAGGCTGTGTTGGAACATCTGCACCTGGTGACCTTGACCTGTGGTCACTGCTGACTGCTTGGGAGGACTGAGTGGGTGCAGTGAATGCCAGGGAGCCTGTGAAACTCAAGCTAGTCAGCATACGGCCTTTTCAGAAGAGCGCCTTCTGACCTGCCCACTGGTCCAGCAGCAGCTCTGCAGCTCTCTCTCCTGGGAACCCAGCTCCACCCTCCCAGTCAGGGTCTGTGTCTCAGAAATCCTAAAGTTCTGGGTCTGTGACTGTCGCTGCAGGTCACGTGACAAGCAAGAATGTCCTTTGAAAATGGGCCCCTCAACAGCTGGGCTTCCAGGAGTTTTGACCCTGTATGTAGCTGGCTCTGGGTGCTGGGGGGCGTCAGGGAGTTCAGTAGCTCCTGGCCTGGAGAGGGTGGGCTGCT